TGACTCCGTTGGAGAATGAATGCGCAGCTCAGGACAGTGGCATATGGCGTCCATAACAGCATGCATACATCCATAGATTCCAGAGGGAGACATGCCAGCCAAACCACGAATAGTCATGTAGTTGCCTCCGGCTAGCCAAGAAAGTGTCATTTGTAGCATGTTCTCAGGCTCTATTGGGTCGGCTCCTGTTTGATTCGTCGACTTGATCTCGTCACGGGCTAGTGTGGGCCTAATCAACGATAGCAACAGCTCAAAAGACGAAGCTTCCATGCGGTAGCATCTTTTGAATTGGCCTTCCAGCAACAGTGTCTGCTTGTGAACGTTCCTGTCCAAACGACGACGGAAAACGCACGCTTCTCGCTGCTGTGGTGCTTCGACAATAGCCGCCCCAACCAGGGCGACAAAGAGAAGCCGGCGGTGGCCCTGAGTGGCTTGCAAATTTACCATCCAGCCTGGACCTACCATTGTTTTATTCTCCAGTGGCTTTGCGATCTCGCGATCCCTCGCAGCGCGCGATCTCTACCTCGGATTTTCGCGATTGTGTAATCTTCAAAATAACCCTTTTCCGCATGAATTTTTGTCCAATCAAAGCACACTTTTTGGGATCGCAATCCCGTTAAAAACGGCCCTTAATACACTTTCCTATTTTACCTTCGGGTTGCTACGTCTCCTCTGCCTATTACATCGACCACACCGATAACAGCTGTTACCGTTCGTTGTCTGGCCGCCACCATTCGAACTTCCTAGGTATGCAGCACGCTGTTCCGCCACCGGTACCCTGCTAACACCCGGCTTCTCTTCCATGGGCGCCTGGCGCACCGCCATCTTCAACTTTCTCGGTTTCGGCTTGCCCGCTGCCCCGTCATCACTCGAATCGTCTCTCTCTCGCTGCCGTTTCGTTTGAGCGGCTGTTGCCTTGCCTTTCTGACTACCGTGATGCGTGGAAGCGCCTGACATCCGCTGCTTCTCCTTCTTCTTCGGTTCGTCCCAGTATTTGCCATTCCAGATGTGGCCTGGTGGCGGATCCCAGGTCCCCGATATGCGTTGTAAACGCCCTGCGGATTGGTGAATAGAGCCACCGCCTGTATGCTTCTATTCGCCGCCGAACCATCCTCACTAGCCGCCATTAGTGTCGCCAATCCAGTGCCACTGATACCGGGTATCACGCTTGTCTGACCTGTGGTTCCGTCCATGGGTATGACGTATCGACAGGGCGCGGTTGCCCACGACTGCCCGATGTTGACCATCCCCTGGGCCACGTTGTCCATGGGGTCGTCAATTTCCGTGGCCTTGTCAACGGCCTCCTCAAGAGTTCCGGGCTTTGGGTCCTACTTGACGAGCTTCTTCGTTGTTTTGTCGAGGCACCGATAAAATTGAGCTAACAGAACCCTTTCACTCACTTTGTTTCGACCGACCACGTCGCGAAGTCCGCCTGCGAAGCCGGCATGTGTTTCGCCTGGCATCATCCTCCGCATGCTCACACGCCACTCTGCCGCCGACTTATCCAGCTTTTCTCCATATCGTCTCAACAGGGCCTTCTTCAGGTAAGTCCACGTCCTGCGTTTCTCAATCAGACGCCGATCCATGTCTACCCACCACTTTGAAGCATTCTCCATCAATTTGTTCCCGAGAATAAAGTAAAGAGCCTTGTCTGACCACTTGCCTCTCCCACTTTCTTCTGTCCCTTTCAATGC